AGCACTGGATGGATCTTTTTCAAAGATCTTATGTAGGAACCCTTTGAACCCAAGCTGCATTTTTCTTTCTTTGGATTCATTCAAAAAACAACGTGGCCGACAGGACAGGCTGCCATCTTGGAATTTGAGAGTAAAAATTTCCTATCGCTATTTCTGGAGAAATAAATGATGGATCTTTCACAGATTTCATATTGAGGGACTCCTGAGTTGTACAATGTCCTATTTTCGGACAGATCCGTTAAAGAACAAAACCGACAGTGATAACTCATTTTTGCTATCTTCTGAGAAGTACTTCACGATTTTTTCTCAAATATATATGTTTCCCTTAGTACCTAGTTGTACGCTTTTGATTTTGAAGTGATTTTGATTTTGAACATGGCCATTTTGAATTTTGACAATGGAAATTATCGCTATTTAATTTGAAGTCATGGATGGATCTGTCACAAATTTCATATGTAGCTTTATCTCTGTCCCTAGTTGTGCCTATTCAATTCTTAGTCTGATCAAAGAATGGAAATGGCCAACAGACGGCCATCTTAAATTTTGACCTTGAAAAGTTTGTTATCTTTTGAGAATTATTGAATGAATCTGTCTTTTTATGTAGGTTTCCATTGGTCCCTTGTTTTTCCTTTTTGATTTTGGAATTGTCAGAAAAACCTGTATACTGACTGGTAACCATCGTTCAGTTTACTGTTAGGATTATTATATCGTTTTCTTGGGATCTCCTGTTATTTAATTTGACAGTAAAAACGGGTAACCACTCCAGGTCTAAATTGCTGATTGGAATGAGAGAAAAAAATAAATATCACGTTGTGATTGATCCTATGTCCTGTCGTTCTGGGCAGTGTGTATCCTGACATCAGTCTATTCATTTTCCTCGCGAACCTACCTTCTCCTGACAGCGACAGTTGCCTTTCCAGACTCCACGTGAAACTACCTGAAGATTCGCGATTGCATTCAATTGTACGCATGATAGACAGGATTGCATAGCTGAATCATCATGTTGATCAAACGCGGACATTCATCGCCGGCAGCCATGGCATGGAAGTGCAAGTCTCGCGAGATATCTCTTTAGAGTGCGTTCACGAACGGTTACAATCTGTATTTGGTATCAGATTAGGGCGAACCTGTATAACATGCTTTGTCTCTAAAAAGCCAAATGGTGGCGTTAAAATGAAACGCGTGGCATCTTTATTTTTATTGTGATGTTTACATTCTTGTATTAAGTTATTAATACACACGCACATACGCACATACGCACCTTCACACACACATACACCCTCAACCCCCTCCCCCCCCCACACAACCCCACACACCCATACCCTCACACATATTCACACACACCCTCACCCCCCCCCTCCCACACATACACAACCCCACACACCCACACTCTCACACATACTCACACACACTCTCACCCCCCCCCCCACACAACCCCCCACACAACCCCCCACACCCACACCCTCACACATACTCACACACACCCTCCCCCCCCTACACACTACCCCCACACCCACACCCTCACACATACTCACACACCCTCACACACACAAACACCCTTGCCAAAATACAGCTTATGCTTTCAGACATTGGCCATGTACTCTATTTATCAATCGAAATAGATTGGAAATCAGATCATTAAAATTTCAGCAGTTTTGTGGTTCAAACTTTGTTACCTGACGTTGACGTTACGCTGAATTTTGCCTGATGACGTGCGCCAAAATAATTACTCCGCGCAGAAATGTAGTTCCTAACTTCAACAGATAGAAGAGCGATTTTATGAATTTTCGTAAATAAACTTATTCATTACAGTATATAAAATCACTTATTTCAACAGTTATTTCTATAACTAAACGTAATACTTAAGTGCCAGTTGCAGAATGAAATATGTATCTAGTAAAAGTGAACGTGCTTCAAATATGATGACATACATAAGATACAATTACGATAAATCAAGATTAAAGATAAAACTTGCAAAACGCGGTTTTTTCTTTGTTTTATTTTGACACCTTAACAACTCATTTCCACCGAGAAAAAAATCTGGTGAAGTACTGTTAATCACTTATATTTTGCGAGAAGTTACCTTTTCAGACATATTCGCGAATTCATGATTTCATTATATCATCGCGAAAATAAATCCCACGCGAAATGTAAATGATTTGTAGCAGTAAAATGAATGAATGGTTGCAGCAGCGGTATATAAAAAAAGGTAAAAAAAATCTCATTTATAACCAGATATGCACAATAAAAATCTTAATATTACCATTTATTAAACATAAAACAGTTTAATACAGAAGGATGTCAAAAGTTTCCAATAAATACAAAACATTTAATTGGTTGGTAATGATTACTGACTCATGTTGGTGTAGTTCACCTACGTCATCGATTTTTTACCATCCTCCTAAAGACAATTAAAAAAATTGTGTTCATACTTTAACCTGAAATCTATACAAAAGTGTCTACGTCACTAAACACAAACCTTTCTGGAGTCACATCGAATCGGAATCAATGTGAGATAAAAACATCCAGACCATTGTTTGAGCGCAGTGTTGATTGTAAAGTGATCCTATTTGTAATAACTTGTTGTTAGTGTGCTATTTATGACGTGAATTACCAGACATATCGACAGAGGCTGTGTTACATTCGATCTAATACTCGTGTCAAAGTTCGATAGTATATCCGGGAATCGTTGTTCAACACTTCCGGATTAACAGACTGCTACATCCGGTGTAGACCGGATGTTAGACGAAGTGCTACGAATATCATTCGCACTTTGTTCGTGGCATGACTTCATGTTACAAAATTGGAAAGACATATAATACCACTTATTACAGACGTTTCCGCATTTATTGATCACGTAAAACATAATTACAGGCAGTCAACGTTATCGATATCAATTTAACGAAAACAAAAGATGCCATTTTTAATTTTGCTAATGGCGTAATCGAAAAGCATTCCTGGATAAGTTTAACTTATTTCTATTATGTAACTTTAAACACATCATTATCTTGAAAAATATAAATAAATCGTGGAGACTTTTACTTCATGGTGTTGTTAAACATGATAAGAATTTTGAATTAAAAAGATATGTGTTATACATGTATAAAGAAAAGGTCTTTAATTTGACAAGGGAATTGTTTGAAGATAAGAACATACATTATGTACAAAGAACATATTGGTTACTCAGGGAATCGTTGTAGAACACATACGCCCAAATAATTGCTCCATGCGGAAATATAGTCAAAGACTTCAACGGATATAACTGCAATTTAATGACTTTTTAAGTAAATAAACTTGTTCTTTATAACATAAATAATTGCTTGTTTAAATAGTTATTTATATTTTCAAACATGCTATTTAAATAAATTTAATGAGTAATTCTTTCAAATTAATGTATATTGTACATGCTAAAATACGCTTATTTTCTGGCATTACTCATACAGCAAAACATATGTGGAAGGTATATACCAACAATTGCACCGCCAGTTGCAGGACAGATGCGTCGTGATATAAAGAAAGTCATTATAGCGGTACTCAGTGACCCATACAGTAAACCTTAGTTAACCATTGAGGTACATAAAAAAATAACCAGCGAGCTCCTCAGCAATCCATCGAGCTATTCAGTAATCCACCGAGCTACTAAGTGATCCACCGAGCTTGTTAGCAATCCACCGAGCTACTCAGTGATCCACCGAGCTACTAAGTGATCCACCGAGCTAGTTAGCAATCCATCGAGCTACTCAGTGATCCACCGAGTTAGTTAGTGATCCACCAAGCTACTTAGTGATCCACCGATCTAGTTAGTGATCCACCGAGCTACTCAGCAATCCACCGAACTACTCAGTAATCCATTGAACCACTCAGTAACCACTGAGCTACTTAACGAAACAACGAACTTTCTCAGGGACCCACCGAGCTACTTAGTAGTCCACAGAGATATAGAAAATGATTAATATAGACAAATAATGTACTGGATTCAATTATGCAGTGAATCATTTTGGTACAAAGAACCATCGAACCAATGGGATTACTGAAGAACCATTGGTGAAGATGACAGCATCCAGCACGTGTTTTTAGCATTTAGTTGGCGCTATTGATACTTTCAATTCCTCTGTGTGGCCATTATTCGATTTGACAATGACACCATATTTCACTGACTGGTGCAAATTGAGACTACTTAAATTTCGTTATCAAACGTCTCTTGAATTTCCTAGGCTTTTACGTGATTTGAATTAAACAAGGTTCAATGTCCTTCACTTTTTTTTCTTTTATCAAAAGCTCATTTGTTTCGACAGTCCCCAAAGTATTTTGAAGATAAAGTTGCTGGTATTTCCAACAAAAATCTCATTTGAATCACTGCAGGTCTGTGTTGCAGATGCGAGTATGTATTTAAAAAATCATTTGGTAAGGCAGAGAGTATCAAATACATATCACAAATCAAGAGGAAGTGTTAAGCAATCATTCGGTTCGGTAGGAAAGTAACTATATAATGTGTTATATTTCACAAAAAGGGAAAATCTCGTGGGTGAAGGGTGACAGAGAAATTGAATTATCGAGTTATTGTAAGCACTTGGTCACAGAAAAGTCATCCAAAGTGATCAAAAATACCTTTCATGAAACCTTTGAGGTGTGTTCATGGATACCTGTTGATGACCCAAAGACATTAGGATGTGTAAACAATCACTGTAAAACACAGACAGTAAATAGATCGCAGTATGTTTAGAGATTAACAAGTAGCTACTGCCCGGACAATCATCTTCTTCCCGGCTTAGAGAGTATAAATAGCCTGATACAAGAATACTAATGAAAACCTCCAGATATGTATCAGATCGCTCTCATTTCCACCCCCGTATTACAGGCTGACTAAAAATGTTGTATAATTAAATCAATTTACATCTTTTTAATGAAAATTGATTTATGAAACTATTTTTTTTAAATTTATTTGTATGACTGACATTCATTTGATTTATTTATAAGACTATCGTTGATTTTTTTCACAGACTGGATTTATCAACAGATCCTTTCAGAATGTGATCCGGCCAAAGGAAGAGGCCGTTATGGAGCGTGTTAGGTAAGACCAGTCTAATGCTTTGAATTTACCTATGGTATTCAGGTTTTGTTTCAAAAAAATTTATCTACCCATCCTTTGCTAAGAGGTTTTGTCTTTAGACTGAAATAAAGAAAGATTCGTGCTGAAATAAATAATTCTTATTTTGATCTTTGAATTGTTACGATTGTTATTCCAAGGAACATTATGGACTGTTGCACAATTGCTGAGAGACATGTCTTCTTCATACTTTTGTTAAATCTGCAAAAAATTGAGTCATACTTAAAAAATAGAGCCTTTTCAAAACATGAATTTTGTTAACACATTTGAAAAAAAGTTATCGTTGATCTCTATGTTTTTTTTATTTATATTTTAGGAAATTGATGAACTTTGATGAAATGATATTTGTAACGTCCTACTTAGACCCGGATGTGCGTCACTCGACAATGAACGAAACTCTCCTCCTTGGTATGTCTGACGCAGCGGCATCTGCTTTAGGTAAGACACTTGCTTGTTTACTGAAAACCAAATATAACGTTTAAAAATGTTTAATTTTCCACAATTGCATATTGCTTTCAAAAATCCCACAAATTTTATAAGAAAAAACTTCACAGAGAAAGGTAAGGAAGTTTTATGAAGGCGGTTTGTACCATATACACTAAATAAGTCAGAAAGTTAACTTTAGTTGGAAGGAAGTACTTGACTCACAAATGTTCACTTTTTGAAAATAACCCCTTTCACCATATCGCCTCTCACTCCTATCTCTCTTTTAGTATATCTGTTTGTGAAATAATACTGATAATTTAATTAGAAGGGGTTGAGCCTGGGAATTACATATGTACTTTTGGACAAAAACGGATTTCTCACTAATATCGTGCACCTGCTATAGATAGTTAGGCCTTCCCTGTTGACACCGTCTTTATTGAGTGGTTATCACTGGTTCATGTTGGTCTTTATTAGCCCTTGTTGTCACAAGATGTAGCTGTTTGCACATGAATTCTTATTTTAGTATGATTGACCGGAAACAGTACTGCCGTTATGACGCGCCTAATTGAGAAAAGAGTGCGCCACCAGGCGGAAGTTCCTACCTATAATAGTCACGTGATTGCCACCTAAACCGCGTTATTGTCTGTTATATCCTACATATATGTATCATCACAGTCTATATATTAACGAATTACCATAACCATGAAATGATTGGAGAGTAAAATACGATTACCAGATAATGAATATTTGATTGAAGTTCAAGGTTTTGTCTATAATAAAAGAAAAATGATTACTTTTTCCCAACGGAAGAATATATTTTTTTTATTAAAGATGTTTGTAATACAAGACTATTTCTCTATTTCTTTCCCATATATCTTTAACTTTTCCATTTTTGTGCCCCATTTATTTCCATTGTTATCCTTTCCTCAGTGTTTTATCTGTATTTCCCTTCTTTCCTCTCTCTATCATTAACTTGCTCATCGCTAAGATTGATAAGGTAAGAAAAATGTGATAAAAAAACTGCGAGGGGTTTTTAATTTACCCTTGATCGTGTGAATATGGACATAAAAGTTTTCTTTGAATTTGATAAAAAGATATATTGCATTTTTAATGGTATACTTTGCGGTAACGTATGTTTGGCGGTAATGTGTACAACTACGTTGCAGAAGTCTCTTGATACAGCTTACGAACGCTAACCAATCTATATGTAGTTACCCGTATGCAAGAATGCCGTGGTGCAGGCATAGAAAGAGTAATAAATGAATAATAAAACCCAGCGTGTTTTGAAGTATCACAATGATTGCAATAGGGGTGACATGTGCTTGATCCGATTTTAGTGTAGGCGACTACATGTATGTATCGTTAGAGTTAACCAGATGACTTGTATCATCATAGACAGGTATAGCTGTTCAGTGTCAGTTGTCTATCAAAAGTGTATTTCAAAAAGGTAAAAGGTCAACCCTTCATTCATAATTTTCGAATAATTACAACACGTTGCGCAAAAATGCTGTAAATGTGACGGCTAATATTGATGTTGTGCAAGTTGTACTTGAGTGTCGCTTGGTAATTAAAAGAGTATTACATATACATCTTCAAATTAATATAACGTCGAGACCGCTTCACTGGCTGTTCAGTTCATCACTTTCTTCTCACGCAGTGTCAGCATTTTCCCCGTATTTCTTTGTAGAATTTGTCTTTTTCAACTACCAATCTACTTTACATTACATGTCCTGAAGGTATGGCGTCCTCGTGACGTCAGTGTTATTGAGTGCGTTGCCAGGTCCTTGTTTCGTATTTTTGTTATACCGGATGTTTATTCTAGAATCACCCTCGGTTACAATGTTTGAACTCTATCCGGTAGCCGAACATGTTCATACACACACTCTCTGTTTAAATATTCTACGTAAATGCGTTTGTTTAAATTCATTTTACCTAGGGAAAGTTCCTAAATTCGACAAAAATGTCGTACTCGATGATCGCGTTTTTTAATTATATATTAAAGATAAAATATTACAGGTAAATGAAGTATTTGAATGAAAATATATAATTTGAGGTCTGATAATTCAGCTTGTTTCGGCGTATCAAAGAGAGTTTGTGATATAGCATTATCATGGTATAAAGAGTACGCCATGGTCATATCGGAGCAGACTTTGAAGGTTGGGAGATCCGAGAATACCGTTATCTTATCCGAGTGCTTTCGAGTACGGTGTAGTACGTTTTACGCAATTTTTACCTACCGACAAGTAGTTTACAACTTAAAGTACTCACGAGTAATATTTTCTGGCAAAACAAATCACAAACATAGGCAAGTGTAAGAGTAATTGTTTTTTCTTGATGTAGACACAAAGATAATACAATATACCCGAAAAATACCTGCGTGGTCGAGTATGTGACCTATACCTTTTCACGTCCATTCCGAGAATCGAACCTCGGACGTCGAAGTGAAAAATGATTGCAAAAAATCACTGTGCCACCCTAACACTCAACGAGTAAACAAGTCGAATTTCAGTTCTAATCTAGCAATATGCGCAGTGTGAAGCTGCAGCCTACAGATATGTCCTATTAGATGTATCTAATCACTCAAAGGTCGGGAAGGAAATTCTGGAACGGGACATCGACAAATTATTTCTTAATTATTATCTTACGCCGCGGTAGCCTAGTGGTTAAAGCGTCTGGCAGTCTTTATCACTAACTTCACGTCTTGGTCGCGCGAACGTTTTGCAGTCACCAGGTATTGGCTGCAGATCAGTGTTTTTTATCAGTAACTCAGGTTTACACCATCACCCAAACCTGACACGCCCTTAAGCGACCCTGGCTGTTAATAGCACGTAAAATGACAATAAGACATACTAAGTTGATAATTCTGAACTTATACCACCAATTGAAGTAATAAAGGATGACAAAGTAAAGATAAACATTCGGTTCTAAAATGTCAACAGCGAAGCTTGGTAAATAAAATATAAAAAGGCATTAGGGGCAGAGTCACGAAAACAGCAGTAAGCGATGCCATAAACAACTTAACACAAACCAAAATGTTACTTTCCCTTGAAGTCGTATCTGAACCAACATAGAGGGATGAAAAGTCTCTATTGAGTTATACGTAATTTCTTCACTGAACCACACATGAAACTCATATACTACCGTGATATATAGAAGTTCACCGCAATCTTGTCGTCAGAACTGCATAATTATAACGGCAACTTTTCTCGTTGATTTCCCAAATCCGATAAATATTGATCGGTAGTGCCTGATTCTCCTCAATATGGTTTCTCAGCCTTGGATATGACAAGTAAATTGACACCAGTTTATCGTCATCGCTTTTGTTCAGTTCAATAAGCGCTTTACTGTTTTTCATGTGTTTTTTTCCAGTTCAAACAACACGAAGATATATTTCGTATAACCACATTCGATCTTTCATTTGTCTATATGTCGTTAGTATTTCAAACTGGAGTATATATATGAGACATATATGCTGCAGTTAACAGTGTGTCGGTCTGTGTATATATACCGCTAGATATCTCCTAGGTAAACAAAAATGGACGCCGGCATTTTCGGTATCAATATACAGACATAACCGGGGTTGTTAAGAGGACTTGACAAAAGCAGCAAAGTAATTTTTCGAAGTCCTAACGGGCGACGTTCTACTCGTCTAACACTCAAATTGTATTCACATCGAATTAATACAAACAAATGGTAACAGTTCATTTCTTAAGTAATTTCCCCGAGGTTTGTCGTATCCTGCGTGCCAAGTGTTGATTCATTCAAATTGTGGCACGGTTCAGTATATACACAGATGTACTTCGCATTCTTCGAAATTGATATATATATATATATATGAAAATTACTGAATTTACTGAATTATGGGAGTTGTACACCTCTTCATATACAATTTTGACATTTCTTTTGATCACTTTGAAATTTCCTCACTCGCCTTCAATGTTTAACATTTAAGTTCTTGGCATCACTGACAAGTCCCAGAAGGATGAAACTGCTGAATGATGCAGTTTTACACGTTGTTTGTCTCTACTCTATCTTATTCAAATTTCTTCATAATTGTGCGAGTCATTTGCGTGTCTTTAGTACAATCTTCTAACCGTGTATAGACTCCTTTGGTAAGACACTAGTGTCTACTTTGTGAAAATCCTCAGAGAAACAGAAGTTAACACACAGTTAGAACTGTGACTCTTTTATCATAACTATGTCTGCATGTTATTTATTTTTTTAATTTGTTTATAAGTCTCTTGTCCTATTCACTTTGAGGAACCTTTTCATATATAGGTTTAGTACTGATGGCCAATATTTAAGTCTGGGACGTTTACATCTTTTACAGGAGAGCGGTTACTCCTTATTTCTTTTTCGATATTTCTATCATAACATTGGGACACCGAAATGCTTCTGTCTCTAGTTTTATTGTTTTCCTGTCCACGACTTCCCACGTTGGCGTCTGGCCATAGGTGACCTGTTCTGCCACGAAGTAAACCCCATACAAACTGAAATGATGTGTATTACAACGATTTTAGCAATTCATAATGCGAGCTTTCAGACAGTTTTATCGCCGGGCCAGTGGGAGAGTGTCTGTAACTATACACATCATTCCATTAATATAGGGAAATGAACATCGGATGACTGTCACCAATGCTTCCTGAAGGGTTGTTGATACTGAAATATATTCTCGTTCACTCTGCAGGTCTTGTCTTTTCCTAATTAAACGGAAGTGTATAATACCAAACGTTTTTCAGTCCTCCACGGGAACCGGAGGGACCTAAAGGTTTGCTTTTTGTCCGTTCGTCCATTCATCCTTCCGTGCGTCCGCTTCCTTGTCCGGCCCATGTATTTCACCTTGGTGAGATGGTGTGTCGCGTATCAAAGTAGTTAACCCTGAACTGCATCAAGAAAAAAAATTGTTTGGGCCCTTTCTCTTACATGGCAGGAAGTTCATATATTGATTCACCTTGTTGAGACGGTTTGTCGCATATCAAAAGTAGGTCACTATGACTTTGACCTTTGATCAACATTTACACAAAGACAAAAATGTCCTACACCACTAGTCACTGGAACTTTCACTTTGTGTATTGGTTCATCTTGGTGAGGAGATGTATCCATGGGGAACTGAAATTCGTCAAATTATCTTGTTTAGAACGCTCTGAACATAGGGACATACAACGTGACATTAATGCTCGCCATATGTTGTAAAAGGTCAGTGTTAATTAGAACCTTTAGAATTTCTATGGTCACAGTTTCACATCACTATGAACAACTGATGCTCATCAAAGACCTTCTGTCCCTATAACTAATACTGTAACACTTGAATGAAGTAATTCCGTTAACGACTGTTTTTTGTTAGCATATTTTGTAGTTTCTTACATATTAAACGATTCACGCCGTTGAGTATTCATCATACACGTCTTCTTGAATCCTCTGTAGGCTATGGGGAACTACTATGTCTGTGAAATCGTTATGCTAGACCAAGGTAACACCTATAACTGATAGGATATTAGTTACCTTGGATACGCTAGGATATTTTCGATAATACAAAAGTATCGGCTTTTGTGATGTATATCTTCTGCATTGTCGTTTTTGTCGGAATGATATCATTGTAACATATACCTACTCTGATGATAAGGGATTGGTGCAATCTATCAACAAACGATTGATGTGAGTAGGATTTAAATGCACTACAACGAATCCTTAGGCCTCCTCTCCACACTCCTTCACTTTCATTTTTCTTTCAGAAAATTTTCCGATTCCAAAGTTCAAAAATTGAAAAGCATTCATTGAGTTAAGAGATTAAGAGAAACCCTTGGTTAACTAGCTAAGCTTTATCACGGCTTTCTAATGGAAATGCTTTCCAAATGGATTTATATATATATATAAATAAAACGAATGAGATTTTTTAAGACAATGTCTCTTTCAAGAAAGCTAATGAAAACACCATCCTAATTGTAAAAATAACTATGCTTTGTGTTATTTGATTTTCTTACAGACCTTAAACAGGAAGCTGTTTTGCGGATGCTGGGGGACGAATATGTCCAACTCTGTTTATCGGAATATGGCCGTGCTCTTGGAATGATGGGAAGCAATATGGTAGAATTTTTCAGCAACCTGGATGGACTCCACGACCATATAAGGACATCTCCAAAATTTGGATCCCAAGTGCCTCCATCTTTTCGATGTTCTCATACGTCAAAAGGATGCGTCGATCTCCATTTCTACTCAGATCTTCGGAACCTCTTGGAGTTTTATGCTGGGATTGTACAATCTGTGGCACGGCTTATGTTCTCTGTAGATGCCGAGGTTACATTACAGGTTAAAGAAAAAGCTTCCAAGACACATCATGTATTCCATATACAACCTAGACAATACTCGAACAAAAAGGAATGTACTTTCAGCACCTTTCGGGCTTCCACCTCTGATAATCCGTCCGATCTAAAGATTGGCGTTGATACATTTTGTAGCACATTTCCATTCCACGTCATCTTTGACAGGGACTTGAAAATTACACAACTTGGCTCGGCTCTCCTCAAAATGATTGCTCCAGGGTTTGCCACAAAGGGACAGAAGTTTGACACATACTTTGTTATCAAAAGCCCAAAACTGGAGGAGTTGACTTTCTCAAAGTTGTTGTCTAGGGTGAATTTTTCATTTGTGTTGGAGACCAAATCTCAACAACGAGATGGACACCAGCTATCCCAGGTAAAGTCTTCTTTTGACCTGCACTGACAACCATTTTAGACCGCCTCTTTACGGTTTCATAATACTTTGCATGTGAAACCATTTTTCTTTAATTAATTTCTGATATTATTATGATGCGTATAATTTGTTATATCAGGCACTCACTTTCCATCACATGGATCTTTCATTGTGTGTGTAGCCATGGGTTAATACAGGCACTCAGTAAAGCCATCCCCAATTTATGTTAATTCTTCAAACAACATTCCTCTATCCGTGTTTATCTAAAAAAACGAATTAGGAGACAAGCTGTGTGTAATCATGGATAATGTTATATTTTTGTTTGTTTACTGTTTGACACATTAGCTCGGTGAGCCAATTTATTTGAAGGTGAACCCGAATTTTGGCCGCTTTCAAGAACCATATTACATGCTAAACGCACGGGCCACGCTCCTCAATGTTAATTCTCTAATACAAAATGTACTTAGTGTATCTGTTGTACCGACATACTTTCACACAAAAAAAGATTATGCAAAATGCACATTAGTAGAAAACACAATTTAGAAAATAATTTGATAGAGTAGAGCCATATATTGAATTATCATTGTCACTGTTGAGACTGAATCTATAGTTACCGACAGACATCACCACTTTGGGATTACTCTATATTCCTATATACATTTATGTGTTCTAGTTGCGAATAAATCGTGCGATGTTGGGACAACAATACTTATTGACACGATTTCGACTATTTGCTATAGTTAGCGGTAAAGACTATGATGTGGAGACAGCCTATGAACTATTTTCTATAGTTAGCGGTAGAGACTATGATATGGAGACAACCTTTGAACTATTTTCTATAGTTAGCGGTAAAGACTATGACATGGAGACAACCTTTGAACTATTTTCTATAGTTAGCGGTAAAGACTATGACATGGAGACAACCTTTGAACTATTTTCTATAGTTAGCGGTAAAGACTATGACATGGAGACAACCTTTGAACTATTTCCTATAGTTAGCGGTAAAGACTAGCGGTAAAGACTATGACATGGAGACAACCTTTGAACTATTTCCTATAGTTAGCGGTAAAGACTATGACATGGAGACAACCTTTGAACTATTTCCTATAGTTAGCGGTAAAGACTATGACATGGAGACAACCTTTGAACTATTTCCTATAGTTAGCGGTAAAGACTATGACATGGCGACAACCTTTGAACTATTTTCTATAGTTAGCGGTAAAGACTATGACATGGAGACAACCTTTGAACTATTTCCTATAGTTAGCGGTAAAGACTATGACATAGTTAGCGGTAAAGACTATGACATGGAGACAACCTTTGAACTATTTCCTATAGTTAGCGGTAAAGACTATGACATGGAGACAACCTTTGAACTATTTCCTATAGTTAACGGTAAAGACTATGATATGGAGACAACCTTTGAACTATTTCCTATAGTTAGCTGTAGAGACTATGATATGGAGACAACCTTTGGTCAACTTCCTATATGGGGGATTGGGGGGAGGGGGGGGGACTGGGTTGGTTAGTTGGTTGATTGGTTGGTGAAGGATGGGAGGATGACTGGCATTAGTGGTTTATATAATACTTATGGGTTTCATATCCACAATATTACACGTCACTGTTAATTTCATGACTTCAGTTTCTCACGAATACAAACAAAAGAAAATTGGCCCACTAGACTGAAATTTTACCTACTTTTTATGTGTTTGACGAGCTCTTTTATCAGGCTTTATACGATTAGCGTATAGTGTACATCAAATTACTTCTAACACCTCTAAAATAAAACATGTTATTCAGTTGTGTTACCATGGTTTTCAATCCTTTATTATTCACATTTAAGTTGATTATGTGAACAAAAAACGATTGTCGAATTAACTTAGTATAGATTACCTATATTACTTTATCCCTAAGAGTAATTAAAAAAATAAAGGTAAAATTGAGCTGTTAAAAAAATCGCAATAGTTCGTGTGTAGTTAAGAATTACGTTGAAGACATTACTACTCTAGACTATATTGAACAATTTTTTCAACTTGGCAACGTCTTCGCGGGAGCGATTTTTTGAATAGAAAGAAGTTCTGAAATGCTCTTGTCAATTAGATGAAGATCCAATATTTATTCTTTTCATTTGGTGCCTATTACTGTGAGTACCAAATGAGAGTCATATCAAAGGCAATTTACTGTACTTATTATTTAACTTCAATTTTCTTGTTTCTTCTTGTAAATATTGTGTGTAATGTCAATTTCAGGATACCGTTTTGAAAGGCCAAATGATCTACCTACAGGAGTCGGATGCAATTCTTTTTCTCGGTTCTCCAAGTATCGAGAAACTGGATGAAATGATAGCGAAAGGGTTGTACATATCTGATGTCCCTATCCATGACGCGACACGTGATGTCATTTTGGTCGGAGAGCAGACGAAAGCCCAGGTATTGTTGGTCTTTGATTTCAGTCGTCAGGGACAATAGATGTACATATTGGAGATTTTCAAACTGAAGTATACAAAAAACTCAAACCCGATTAATTTATTGCATCAATAGTTGTGACACGTGCCATGTTTGTTAGAATACACTTTAAGTCAAGAGTTTAACCTGGCATGTCATCTGCAATAGAATTCTGTATCTTATGCAGGTATATTAGACACTGCCCAATCAAAATGAACCAATTTTCTCGTTAAACATTTAAATGTTTTAGTGGTTTGATCAGTGTAAAGGGCATTATGTATAGCAGGTATCGAAACAAATAATTATATATTAGATCCGAAGAAAAATTAACTAAGACAGTTATCGCCTTTCCGACTTCTACTCATGCAGTTTGTCTATATGCTGAAGAAATGTCAAACTATTTTTAATCATTGATCCTGTCTAATAGATATATTGTTAGAAGAATTTAATTGTTTTTACCATTAAAACACAAATCCGACGGATGTTTTACATAGTATATGTATATGTTAATTTGTTTAACCTAACTGTTGATAATATGTCAGATGTCAATGAAATCATATCTGTGACACTATCAGTGCAATACTGCAGCCGAAACGCACCTTTCCTGAAATACCGTCCGTCATAGCACACATCCTGTTACTAGTGTGCTTTTAAGATCATTTAACCAAATTACAAATCAATGTCCTTTAAATAACTCCATATAAAGTCAAATATTTCCATAGCTCCGTTGCTCTGTGGTGGTAAGGTTAAATATTTTAGTACTAATATGTACATGAATTTTGATGAACAATGATAAATGAATTCTGTCAATTCCTTGATATTTCTCCAAATTCTTATTTCTATTGTTAACGACATCATGAGTAAAATATTTCGATATAGGCCAAACTAGATGCTATTTCAAGGAGTCAGCAAGATGAACACGCCAATTTCCCCATGTTTTGAAATAGGTCCAAGTGAGGATATTCTTTTGTGTATTGAATAAACCAACTCGGTGCATTCGTAGCTGTTACTACACGTGTATTATTACCATGTTTGCCTTCCATGTATTCCTATACTCCTGGAGGTGTCATCTCAAACAGACCTTTCTGGTATGTGTATGAATAATGGAAACTCCGCTGCCCGAGACACCTATCTCCCATATGAAGATAAACAGTAAATGTCCGTGTCTGTGTGGCCAAACGTCCAAATTATACAACGCAAAGCGCCAAACTTTTCTGCATTATGCTTTTTATTGTTTGAAATGCCAGGAAAATGTCGATGAAATATTCATTGGTATCGAAGTGTAAAAGCTTAAGAACACCGGGGTATATAGATCGGGGATTACTAACAGATATTTTAATAGAGCATTGAGGAAAATGCAACCCTTCTTCAATTTACTGATAGGGCTATTGATCAGCTATTTACACCTAAGATAGAAGAGACGAATTGACATCTGAACTTAGAATCAATAAACCAAAATAAGATATTGCGAATAAGTAATACCAGTGTTACAATAACTATCGAATCCATCGTTAGTTGCAAATAGTAGTTTTCAGATTAGTCTTAAGAATGATAAAGTGTTAATGCAATATTTGCTGACTATGGAAGGGTTATGTGATTTTATTGTTGATATTCGGAGATATGCATTATGGAAATATAATAGGACTTTAACACTTAATCCTTTTTCTTGAGACATGTGAATCTATATTCTGAGAGTCTTCTTCAAGAGACACGTGGTTCTATATTCTGAGAGTCTTCTTCTTCAAGAGACACGTGGTTCTATATTCTTATTGTCGTCTTCTTCACGAGACACGTGGTTCTATATTCTGAGAGTTGTCTTCTTCAAGAGACACGTGGTTCTATATTCTTAGTGTCGTCATCTTCAAGAGACACGTGGCTCTATGTTCTTAGTGCCGTCATCTTCAAGAGACACGTGGTTCTATATTCTGAGAGTCGTCTTCTTCAAGAGACACGTGGTTCTATATTCTTAGTGTCGTCTTCTTCAAGAGACACGTGGTTCTATATTCTTAGTGTCGTCATCTTCAAGAGACACGTGGTTCTATATTCTTAGTGTCGTCATCTTCAAGAGACACGTGGTTCTATATTCTGAGAGTCGTCTTCTTCAAGAGACACGTGGTTCTATATTCTGATAGTCTTCTTCTTCAAGAGACACGTGGTTCTATATTCTGAGAGTCTTCTTCAAGAGACACGTGGTTCTATATTCTGAGAGTCTTCTTCAAGAGACACGTGGTTCTATATTCTTGGAGTCGGCTTCTTCTACGGACATATGTACTTGTTTAGTGTTTCTTTGAATCTTTCATCCCAGTTTCACATCATTTCCTCATCTTTATATTTTATGCTTTTCCACATCGTTTAGTAACTCTTATCACCAATTACTTATCAATAATTATTGCATAAGTGTTGGGATAACATTTCATCAGCCATGCTCCTCATGTTATTTCAAAGACCCATTCCATATTGTTTTGTCACCAGAGACTCTTTAAAATAGAAATAAAAGAAACCTCATAACACACTAAAACGAAGATAAAATCCGCTCACGAGATAAATTAACACTAAGACAACCAATACAAAAAGAAACTGGCTGACAAATCACGGTTGTTTAATGACGCAGTAGATGTATTGTCGTATTCAAATACCATGGCGATTTAATTACTATAGAAATAATCAATTCACTTACCCCTCTGGTTAATACCGACAGACCATTGCAATAGTGCTCAGAATAACCAATATTTTGTTGTTTGAGAAACGCCGCAAACACCAAAGACCTTGGATACAGTTTGGTGATGAGTAGGAGTTCATATGATTGTGTGGCATGAAATCAAAATAACTTTTATAAAGAAATAAATTATATCCGACGCATTTAATTCATCGTTGAGTCAATCAACAGCTGTTTCGTCATACACTCATTATCTATAACTCGTGTTATGTAAATATGTTCCAAAGAATGTGTCCAATTCTGAATAGGCCTTGTCTGCCCTCAGATTTTGTTCGTCTGGCAGACTGCCTAAGTCCTGACACTGGTTATACGGATAAATAAGTAGCATTTTACACCAGGCTAGACTTATCGATCTGGATACTAAAACCTCGTTTTGTGGTGTGTGCACCACATGTGGAGGGCTTGTAATGTCACAAGTATCTAGCGCAACAATCGGTTCGTTATATATGGGTTCAATAGTTTGACACCAGATAATCGTGAAGTGTCATTTCCGTCTGATATTCCTGAACAGTGGTCCATTGTCAGATCCCAGGGATTACCGTGTAGGTAAGGTTGTAGTGCCGACAAAGAAGTCGGTAAATCGGCAATAATTGAAATATTATGTAATGCTTGCAAGAGCGCTGATATGATCAAAAATGGTGTTATTAAGCATGCAGATGACTATTCCTGACTTTAGAAAAAAAAATAACACTGGATTCGTAATTCACTTAATGCCATTTTCTATTTCGTATTTATCGATGATCAATAATCATACCGTCTATATAGGACACCTACTCATTGAAATATTGTATTGGCAATGTAAATGTTTACGAAAAGGGAGTTATGAAATTGCGTTAGATTCACCCATCCCCTTTCTATAACGAGTAATCGTAACCAGAAATATATGATATAACATTTCATGATATCGTTTCCTTTTATCATACCCATATTTCTTAATAAGAACGTATGCAATTTAATTTGACAATTGTTTCGATTGTTAAAATTAAAACATATATATTCATTTAAGCCCCAATCTCATGACTAACTTAATAACATTATTTAATCCGTAATTTCATTTTGTTACGCATAAAAATGTTTAAAATTTATCAATTAGCAGTAGTTTCCACTTTATATTAGTTTATTGTTTTAATACAAAACTGCCACATAATTGTACATGAAGGAAGCATCTAGATGATTGATATTAGTTTATTAAAGAAATATATTCCGTTATGTACAAGCCTTCTACTTTTATGAAAATTTCTTGTCCTGTTTGATAAGCATTAGAATCACTACATGTCATGAGGGCTGTTTGATAAATTTCCGAAGCACACTTAAGCGATAGGCTAAGTAACTGTATGTGTTTATATCCTTATGTAACACATAATTTTGTATATGGGCTTTATACACGAAACCGTCATTCCAGCAATGCTTGGTTTCTTGTTATGTCTCTCAGAACTCTATCAACATTGTAAGAGGATCTACCCATATCTGAATATACAAAATGTTGTTGTTGACCTATCAGGGATTAAATAGCGGTTATTACTAGATGCCCGGCTGTACAAAACAATGCACTTTGCGTAGGCTTAAGTTATCGTGTAAGGAGATGTTAGAGCCCCGCACCAATTTCAAATGGTAGAAGAAAGGCCACCAATTGAGTTGTCCTCCATTAATAGGCTTAGCCAATCCTATGTAAAAATTTAGATAACCCATTACAAAGAGTAAAGTATGTTGAGTGGGATCAGCCCTGACATATACAGGAACTCGAGGGACTTTTCAAAGGCAACCCTAGTTTACAAAGATGATTTAATCACATTACTTAGTCTTATGAATTCCCTTTCTAAACTGATCGTTTCGTTATAATTCGTGAGATATGCTGACCTTTTGTATCTTCCGAAAAGTAAACACTTATATGATATTACTAAAGTGGACATCCGTGCTATTACACTAACAGGCCTATTCTATCTCATATCGCACGAGTTCTTGACCAAGTACAATTTGGCTTTATCCCGTGGTTCATTTACAGGAGCTATTGCTCAGGGTTCGGTAGACATCATGTCTATACAAGGAGAAGGTCCCGGAAAAAGCCTTTTGATCTGTTCAAATAGATTGGTGAGCTAAGAGTACACTACGTTATATTTAAAAAAAAAACAGATCACTTAAATCTTGTCATCTAGTCTGATTGAATCTGTTGGTCAATGTTGATCTAAATAGAAGTACTCTCCAGTGCACCGGAGCCTATTTCTTTTGCGAACATATCCCTGTTTGGTAAGACTGATTCTAATAAAGCTGATCCTGGGTTTGTTTTAGATGTGAATTACGGCCATATCTGGACCGGGATAGTCTCTCGTTTTTATTTAATGGCAGTTTTTAGGTCCGAAAATTCTTTTTATGATGTAATGACCATTTTTTGTCTGGAAACTGCTTTTTGGGGAAGTTATGTCTATTTCTGGTCAAGACAGGTACTGATCACCTCTGGCAGAAACAACACGTCCGTTGTAGACTGAACGGATAATAATAGATCCTCCGGGGATAACATTTTGATGCAAGATATGAAATTTATCAAGCCAAATATACCTTTGAGACTACGAATAGCAGTCGAGGCATAAATTGTTGAGAACCAACACAATACCCACGCTCTATTAACGTCTTATACATTAACCTAGCAACTGTGTCATTAATTAGTAATGAGTGACTTCCATCGTGGCCATAGCTTATCAACAAAAAGTCTATAGAGGTCTTAGAGCTGGTGAGATCGAAGTTATGTATCAGTAATGTCTCACTGAATTAACTCTTCCGTCTTGAACTATACTGACTTTGGATTTGTCACCATGGGTAGCTGTTTTAAATCCTACCTGCTTATCACATGTGTCGTTTTTTAATTATTCAAGGTTGATCAGCGTCATAGTGTGATACATATGTGAAGTGAAACACAAGACATAATACGCTGTTGATAAATGAAAATATAAGATTGTACAAAATTTATACACATTTAGAAATAAAACCTCATAACATATAAATCTGTATTTTATGACACTTTTGCGCTGCTATGACTCGTCAGTGACGCAAAAGGCCTAAAGTATTCTAATATCGTATTTCATTTTCTATTATACTTTGTTCTAAATTCAATTAGATAGGTAATTATGATATTCCTATCCGCATTTTTGTTTGTATAGGTTATCTTTATAATGGATCAGCCAACATTCCATGTCCCTGTTTGCATATGCCTTCAACCTTATAGCTTGATTCGATATAATCATCATTGTACGCCTGAATATAAATATACTATATTTGGAACAGAGTACAAATTAGTCATTGTTAAAACCAATGAAGCAGAGCATATATCATTTCACTATCTAACATCTGTGTTTTTCTCGCTATTTTATGTCATTACAAAGACGGATACATGTCCAATATAAATTTATTACGTGAGATATTGGTTCAATATGTTTCTGTTGAACTCTAGGAACACCGTTGCCCTTGTAGTGACCGGTGGTCATTGGAAGTAGTCTATGTTTGTTAGGGGAACAATAAATCAAGCTATAATAAGTTACACACCACGCGGCTCATCTCGAGAACAAAATTAGGGACGCCCCGGCTAATTTAGACTAAAATGAAGCTTATCGTTAGTGTGATAAATAACATCCCAAAGCCATTCTAGTCAATGGATAATTGTCGGACATGTGACAAAGAGGTCGATACCAATAGACCTTGTTCCCCGGATACTCATTTCTTCTGTATCATATAGTATGATCTGGATGGATACTTCGATCTAAGTCGTATGCTTAATTATTTGACGGCAAATAATGACGGTACCACATGTGGTGACGCTTAACTCATGATAAGTGTTAAGATTTCGTTATGTTTCACAGATTCGTTTAAGGTGACCTAAGCTTATGTTTTCGTGTCGAAGTTTCGGTCCTGTCGATCAGTGTCATTATCATTATTATCATCATCTTTTTTTCGTTTTGCCATAGTCCAAAACCATGTTTTACCAAACTTTTACGCTAGCTCCGATTGTGCTGGTTGCTGCGGGTTAAACGATACAAGTGTCATATGTTTTGTTTGTATAGCTAGAGATATAGGGGCAGTCGTTGTTTTCATCATAAAATCGTTTGTTACAGGCAAGTTTGAAAAAACGTATGGAAGAACTGAAGAATGGTATCATTGAAGGTACCAAAGCCGTAGAGCATGAAAAAGCCAAGAATATTGAATTGCTGGAGATGATTTTCCCCTCAAATATCGCCGAACGTCTCTGGAGAGGTACGTTATTACTAGACTTAGGGGCGTATTCATGTCACCTGGTCATTGGAAGTTTTACATATTGATACAAATCATTTCGGAAATATAGAAATATACTGAAATATAGTTTTCACGATTTGAGGATAAAATTTTTACCGAAATGTGAGATTCTTATTTTTGTTAATAAATCTTATCGACTTTGCGGTTGAATTGTTTGGTCGACATGCTTTTAACTAATCTTGATATTTATACTAGTTATTGCATTTTATTCGCAAACAACAACTGGTTTTGTGACAAATTGAGATACCCATCGCTTATCTAGGACGAAACATAATTCTCGATTATAAAGTATTGTCTACGTATGTAACATTACTGTGGCTAACATCATATGATTTTCAATCAAAATTTGATTTCTTAGCACTAAAATTATGGTCGTCATAAATATATTTTAATAATTCACATCTTATACTCTTATGTTTTATTGGCTGTTTCTTTGAGTGATCTTTGATGTTCATTTGTTTACCTGTTGGTTCCGTAATTGTATACCTTGTTCTCATTTGGGAACATGACATTACTTACCTGGACTGACCAAGATTTTCACGGCGGGTGTTCCGGAATACCTGGTTTTATTCTTTGAGCTCTTATTTTTCTGTTGTCTTCATGCAAATCTTTCTTGAGTTCATATTTTCCCATAGAATGTGAGTTTGCCTGTTCTACTGTCAGTACAATATTTGTTTTCACGAACTCTTGCCAAGCCGAAATACACACTGTCAAACAACTGAAGCAATATGTGACAAACTTGGAAAACATAGACGGTATTTCGGTAATTGGTAACGACACACTAAATGTTTCCACGATGAAATATTAACAGCGAGGGCAAAGTTAATGTAGAAAATAGACACAGCTTTAGAATTGCCCTTTCGTTAAATCAATTAACATTAACTTAATTGTCGACTTATGTCAGTAATTAACGTGATGGGTTACAGTTAACAAAATAAGCAACCTTCATCACTATTTGGAAAACTGTAAGACTAACTTTAAGATTAACAGAGTCCGGATTCTGGAGTCTTTATGTAATCATTTGTATTGACAAACGTTTATATTTGCGGGATTGAGATATATCAATAAAAGTACTTGTTGTTCGGAAGTGAGGAAATGGAATATTTTTCTCTCTTTTTATTTCTCTCATTTTCAATTGCTTTCATGAGAAGAACGAAATTTGGTGAAACCAGAATGCACCAACAGTATGTCGAGCTGTAAAGGCTTTAAGGAAACAGCAAGAGCCCAAGGCCTACAAAAATATATAAAACGTTATGTTTCCTAATACAGAGGCAGCCTTGTTAATACTGTTTGACATCTCTATTTTGATTAAGGGATGCTTTGTAATATACACTTAACTTTCACTTCCTTCTTTTTAAATGATTTCATTATGAAATTTATTGAATTTTGAGGTCATTGTACCTTCCTATCTGGTTTCCGACATTGATTTTTATCTAAATTTGTACCAAAAGTTGTTATTCACCTGCTTGTTCTTTGTACAATTCCTATACATTTTAATTCGTTATTGAAGTATGAATTCCCAATAGTGTTAACTTCTGTCACGTTGTCGTTGTCGGATTGAGGTTTTAATACACGGACAATATCGACAAGTTTACTCAACCCATTTTTCAAGTTTCATTAGTATGTGAATCCTTCTAATAATTTACTTTAGCAAGCATTATGGTATGTTTACAGGAAAACGCTCTCAACGTTAATCATAGTTTTTTATAGAATAAGAAATCGCATTATCGGTCTAAGGTAGGATTTTCCCCCTCTTTTCATACTTTCTGCTCTCTGGGGGAGGGGAGACACTTGCTTCACACCATCTTTTGAAAAGGATGTACAACGAAAATAGTCAAATCAGTTTCTTTTTGTTCTTTTAAACTGATTTTTAGTGATTTGTATTTTTGTTGAATTGTTAAAATCATTACATCTTCTACCCGTTTAGTTTATATCTTAACTATTATGTTATCGTTTTCATCGTAGGAGAGACAATTGATCCGATGAAGATTGATGACGTCACGATGTTGTTCAGTGACATTGTCGGTTTTACAGCGATTTGTTCGTCCTGTACTCCAATGGAGGTCATCAACATGCTGAATTCGCTTTACACTCAGTTTGACCATTTTTGTGGAGTGGTTGACGTTTACAAGGTAATTCTTATCATCAATAACAAAGATAACCTAAGTGAAATTGAATTCTATATGCTTAGAATGACGTGGCATTTTCCTTGTATAAATATGTCTCATAGAAGTGAAGTTTGAAAATACAGTTATAGATTTCTCGCCTGATCATCACCGTAACACCGTCAAAATGTGCAGTCGGTCATAGTCATAATTAACTTTTTATTTTATAAAATTAGATAGGATTTCAAAAAAAGCGATAAAATCTGTGAGGTACATAGCTTTTGTCATCAAGCTGTTTTGTTATTGTATTTATAGTCGTTATAAATAACGACATATAACTATAACATATTGGGCTAAAGCTCAATCTAATGTTTGCTTCCAAAACCTTGTCATTTACTATGACTATGAATGCAATATCAAGATTATTCAATGTTGGTATAAGATTGTTAACAGAAACCTTTAAACACTTAAAAGTCCATGGCATACTGTTCGGAAACAGGGGCATTATAGCATGTTATTTGCCCATGTCATTTCACATCTTACTGAGGTGAACATTATACCATAGAAATATGCCTAATTTGAACGATAAGAAAGTCTGTTGCTGTTTGGTTTGTATTTCCGTCACAGAACACACATAAGTTTTTGTGTTTCCATCATTGTGTGACCGCATCACTACAGCTATACAGACTACACTCCGCATAATACCTGTTACTGCATCAAAGTAAATGAAAAGAGGACATCTGTGTTTCTTATTGACATCGAGTTATCTGTAGGAATTCTACGCCGCTTTATATTCCTCTTAATGTCTTCTTGCCTTTTCATATTTCTTGATTTATTAAAGACATTGTTTTTTGTGACCATAAACAACGAGATGGAAGGAAGGAGTTTCAACTCAGTGTTGCCAGTGTCGATAATTCATTTTTTCCTAGTAATACTTATATTCTGAGATATCGGTCAGTTTTATCGGTTTCTACATAACTGTGTAGTTGATGCATTTGTCAGGTAAACTGTTTTGGATATATGCCAACTTGCCTTGCTTTTAATGGTGTGCTGTTGAAATTTTCTGATGAAAACATTACTTGTTGGAGGATACATAACATGCTAAGCTTGGTAACAATGTAATAAATTATTCTTGCTTTAAGTTGCAAAGGAAGAATATTCATTTTCGAATGAAAACAGTTTGATCAAGACTCGATTAAGGTAGTGGGACTAGTCTATATTTGATTTGTAACAGACCTGATGTGTATGTTGAGGTATGTATTTGTTCAATGAAAAAACAACAAGGAAAGCTCGAATCGATTGAAAATGGGTAGCATGATAACAAAAGACATTGAAAGCTTTGACAAAAGAATAAACATAACCACACCATGTGTTTCGGAAGAATAAGCGTCTTGCGTAAGGTGCATATGAACAGATTTCTTGCAATTAGCAAACAAATAAGTTAGTGGCAATATGGAAATATATTTTGATTGAGTCATCGGCCGACAAATATGTTAGTGGCAACATAGAAATATATTTTTGATTGAGTCATCGACCGATAAATTATTGATAGCTCTTAAGTTTGTTGAGAGTGTCCCACAAGGTAATGTGATTGAATAAAAGGGATGATATGCTCCCAATTTTATACTCACGTCCTAGAGCCAATCATTTTAACGAGAAACCGACACATGCTGGCTCTTGGATTGTCATGCCTTCGGACTGGCACGCCTCCAGAAGCTGTGAGAACACGAAACTGTATTAGTAAAAACATTTAAAAAAGCCTTAAGAGATATTGGAATCTTAGATGGGAAAGGAAATAACTATGTTTTTGTTGGTAGATAAATAATGGAGTGTACGCCTAGATTACAATAGTGATATTTCTGATTTTAAATCATGATGTATGAAAGTGTTGATTTAGTCTGGTTAGGTCAAACAGTGCTGCATCTTTCAGCTGCTTTGCATATAACCAAGAATTTATGCTGTAAGCATAGATATGTTATTATGATACATTTTCATGATTAAAATCAGGTTGGCATTTTGTCAAAGTTGGCGCACTTTGGGAGTGTAAAAAATAATGTTGAAAGGAGGAGGAGAAAATTAATTGAAGAAAAATTTAATTCGCTCACTGATACAGATTATTGCATTTGATGAAGAAGCAAACGTTATCGGAAGCTGTTTGCTCTGACTACCATTTTTTCCTGATTAAACTGAGTGCATGGCTTTGATATTTCACCATGGTGAATTATTTCTATATCATCATACATCCAGTTCAAGCGAGTTGCATGACAACGATAATGGGAAAAAGTTGTTAGTACCCAAGACCTCTATGAGATTGAGTCGTTTTGTGCGATATGTGACGTGACATAAGACAACTATTGCTGTTTAAAACAAAAATTACTTTAGAAATTAATTAATTGAACTTCCGGTCGAGATAATTCCACAATCCTTTTGGAATGAGGTAACGTTGATTCAACCAGATAGGTAAAGACAGCAAAGAGCAAGGAAAGTCTGCCACGGTCGAAAAACAGGTCAAACAGAGTCAGTCAATCGAGGAAGGCATCTTAGGTCAAACATGGAAACCATTTACATCTCAAAAGCTGAGATGTAATCACCGACAATCGCGTGTGTTGTAATCAGTTTTTTGTCATGTCGACGCAACACTACGTACTTCATAGTCCTAAACATAAGATTTGGCAGTATATATTAAGCATGTCTTTCAATAATCTATGTAATTGTTATATTTCTTTTAAAAGACAAACCACCGCCCACAATCACGTTTCCGCACTGAGGTTTTACTAAGAATGTAAAGAAACTTTGTGGGTTACAGTTTATGTTAATATGTGGCCAAGGGTAATTACAACAACAGTGTGAACATCTGTACAAGATAACAAATGTGTCCATGCTGTGAAATTAGATAAAAGATATCGATGTTTACACTATCAGCTAACGACGGGAAAATTTATATCGGGAGTCCTGATGTATCAGGTGTCTAAACCTATAATAAAATTAGGGGTTTCGAAAGGTCTAGTAGCATATTTCTTCTTTTCATGTAAAGCCAGAATCTATCAATCTACACTCAACGATGAAATGAAATTCTCACTTTATTTTACTGATCAGATGATAATAGGAAATCGACATCACATTATTAGACCATTTGTTCAGAAGTATGTTTTTATTACTAAAATTTCTTTTCTTGTGTGTGTGTTATTTTTAATATTTCAATACAAATATATTGCAACAATATTTTTCTCATATGGCACCAAACATCCTTTGAATAAACTATTTTGTTTACATTTGTAATATTCGACTTTCTTACAAACCCCAACCCCCCCCCCCCCCCCTCGAAAAAAAAAACCCAAAAAATTTGGACACGTCGCTGTTACCAATACGCTTTCTTCACGCCTTACAGTATCAATGCTTGGTAACGTTCATGTGACATTTGTGACGTCATGGTTCAAAGAAACTCGTACGTGTAAGTTATATATGTTGATCCCATTGTGATCTGGTGATTCAAAGCTGTGAATGGAAACGTCATTCAATATCATATTGCAACTTATTGCCAAGATTCCTTATAGTTATCGCAAGTTCCTCTTCGATCTCGCATTTTCGTTTTGGGTTGTACAGGGTTTCTATGTGGCCTGGTTATTAATCACTTGGTATTAGCCTTCTCGAAGCTAACACAATTATAACGAATAATCCATTTGGGCGATTTACCCTAACCAGAGGCATGGTCGATTTCTTCGGGTAATCAAACCGTTCACAAAACCTAATGGCTTTTCGTCCCACTAAGCTATAAAAATCCGATTTTAACCGATATTTTCCTTCGATTTCTTTTTTTCGTTTCTTTATCTTCAAAATAAGAATTAAACAATTCATTTCACGAAGATTAATATGGACTTAAATGCAAATGGGAGTACCACTTTGCCCGCAAGACATTGGAAGGACTTCTCTTATCAGAATTATGGGCCAAAACGCCATTCAGTGGATTGGCTCTTGCACATTTGTTAATCATTGATGTTCGTATTTGAAACAATTATTGATTTTTATGATATCATTACACATTTATCCCATTTTAATTATTTAGAAAAAAAAATACTTGTCATCTGGACCATAATTACCTTGTAGTAAAATCTCAAACAGATTAGTCACTTTCGTTTTCGCCATGGCTTCCGTTTGTACCCTCATAACTTCTATAGTGCAATTTGGATGGAGATGATTTTGAATATTACATGGAATAATAATAGGATATGTAATTTATTAACGTTAATGTGCATTTCATATTTTACATACTGTGGGTTGGACCTACAGACTTCACGGTCGATTTCAGATACTAGTAAAACAATTCAGTTGGTGTGATGTTATGTATTTTTTCTGAATTTACCTGTGCAGGATATGAAGCGTTTATCAAATCATTTACTATATTCCTGAAAAGTTAAATATTCTAGAATAATGGGATACTTGAAACATCAGCTTAACTTTTCTAAACTTGAGGCAATTTATATTAAGTGATAAAGAAGTACCCATCCTTGTATTTGTTAATACGACAGTAACACAATGTCTTGTAAAACGGCAACTTAAAAATACCCAAGTGTTGTAACATGTATTTGTGTAAACTGGATAAAGATGACGCGAGGTTTATTATCCGATGTGATAGTTTACTTTTGTCGTATGGCATGCATACGTATTATCAAATTACACTAAGTAATTATCATCGCAAGGCGGAGAGTCAGCGTTTTACAGTGTGGTGTTTTTACGACATTGGGTGTATAGTATGATTTTACAATGTGACGCTATTTCATCCTAGGTGGAGACAATTGGTGACGCCTACTGCGTAGCAGGGGGCCTCCATAAAAGGTCAAGGAGACATGCTGAACAAATTTCGTTTATGGCACTAAGGATGATGGAAATCGCCGGCAAGGAGAGATCTAAGGATGGGAATGCCATTAGGGTATGCATGACAAGCGGCCAAGCGGCTCCCACTCAGATCGAATGAGCGATGTATATTTAGAATATCTCTTAATAGTAACAATACTTAAATGTAGTTTGTAAAACGTTGACATTTCTCCCTAAAAGCCACTCGAAAGATTTAAAAGGTATCTGCAACTGTGGAATCGCTAAACGACCGCCAACGGTATTCGCAATTCAGATTATATACATGTATTTTGAAGTAGCCACAGATTGTCCATTAAAACTTTAAAAACGATGAATATAAAAGGTTAAAAAAAATAGTGCAATCTTATCGTCATCCATTCCTGACCTTATTGTGATTATGATAGCTATCCCACAACGTTCGTTCATCAGGCAATCTTGATATTGAAACGGAAATATACTTAGGAGTAATATAAAGCAGAGTGATAATGATATTTAGATGATTAGATATATAATGCTAGATTTTTGCAGCCTCTGTATCCCCTTTATAACGGCATATAACTTTCTTGTGTAGATGAGAATAGGGCTCCATACTGGATCCGTTCTAGCTGGAGTTGTTGGAGTGCGCATGCCACGATATTGTCTTTTTGGAAATAATGTCACTCTTGCAAACAAATTTGAGAGTGGGAGTGAAGCCGAACGCATCAACATTAGTCCAACCACTTACAAGTAAGGCCTGCGCTTATACGTTATACATGTAGTTTTGTCTGTATTTGTGAATCAAATGAAAATGGAATTTTAGTACTATCAATATATGACGCCATTGTTAAAGGGTATGCCTTTACATGTTTCAGATGTATTACCGAAACAGAGGGATTTTCGTACACTCCACGAACACGTGAGGATCTACCAGACGGATTCCCTGAAGATATTGAAGGTGTTTGTTACTTTTTGGACGACTTTAAATTCCCAGGGGCAAAGAAAGATGACAAAAGCATCGACCACATAACCTTACAAATGGAGGAATTTCGGAGACTGGACATTGTTACCACCTAACCCGTTACTGGTTGTTCAGATTGACCAATCAGGGAATATCCAGTCTGGTTGCTGCGAAATATTTATTTATATTTTCATACCGTCCATTTTTTCCCCTTAATACACTCTTATGTAGGCATAGAGGTATACAATCTAAGGCCTTTTTTCATAGCTCTCAAAACTCACTCTTATATCCTTATTCCCCTAGTGAGAGAAATATTACACTCTGTAGGTAAGTATCATGAAGTAGACGGGTTCTATAATGGAGTAGGAATTCTATCTGAGTTTTGTTTCTACGTGATTTCTGTTCTTATATATCGCATTGTAATTAAGTACATTATTTATGTTGTATATATATATATATATTTAAATATATATCTATATTATGTATATTTGAATTATGCTATGTAACAGCTTTACACATTTACCAGATGTGTTATTATCAACGGACTGAGACAATCGAACATTTTCTCTTGAGGGAATGTTTCAGCAACGAAACCAACAAAGTGCGATTTCAATCTTTACTATTTGGAACACCGGATATGACGTTTACATATGATAAAATGTTCACAACAAGTGATGACGTATGACAAAATGGCTTCCACTGCCGGTCTTAACTTTGCTGTTCGTGTGTTTTTCATACAAACACATTTTCAATGTTAATAAATTTGAAGAAATAGATATCTTATTAGTGTAAACCTATATGTAAATGACTATTTATAAATACATTTTATGCACAAAAACACCCCGTCAAATAATTATTTCTAGGTTACAAGTTCCTGTGATACATTGCTAATTCTTATATGTGCCACTTAAGCGTTCCAGATATTTCGGGCAACATTTTCAAAGATGGATGAATAACAGCTTACCATTATCCTTATTTAGAGGTTTGGATACTGATCTCAGTCTCTATATTCTGGCATCGTGTGTATTGTGCTTGTACAATTGAGCAAAATGCACTTGGACTGTTTATGGTCAAATATTACTTCTGCTAAAGATTAACAAGCTACTCAACGATGTATATGTGTCATGAACGTGATATCAATGCTATATTCGATAGTCTTGGGACCAAAACGATCTGATTTCGAGAAAAGAAAAACCCAGATATCGGCTTTATGACGTTATCACTTTATTGGTTAGATATTATAATACATTACTTGTAACGAATATGTCAGTAAGTCTGAACATTGTGATATTTATGTGATGGAATATGATATTTGACTCTCACCATGTTGTGTATACCGACATTCATTGTATATCGTTTGTCCCACCTACATCAATGTCGTTCAATGTCCCATGATTATTAAATGTGTATTTTTTCTACACAAGATGTAAATAGTATTACCTATAACAAAGAATTTTATCATGAGTCAATGTGTATATCTACAAATAATGCTATCCCCTGCTGTTAGGGAATATTGTCTCATGCTCGAGACAAACCAGTCAGGTCCTTGATTTTACCGACAAAATATTTGGATGATGACAACAAATTCACGGATATTAATGATAAAACGGATTCCCCCAACTTGTGTGTCTGTTAATCAGTCGAAATCATCTGAATGATGATGTTTGGTTATTTATCATAGATGTAAGTTTACTAATTTGAGTATCACATGTTTGGAATTCTTCCAAATATGGCCATATAAAAATTAAGATGTTGTTAACAAGGTTTAAAATAAAACAAATACATGTTTGTGTTAATCATATCACAGTGCTTGGTTGTGTAAATATGTGAATGTAGAAAGGGACTTGATGAAATACCTCTTTTCTGGAATAGTTAGCACATGTGTTGTGAAAATTTTTACCGTTTATTTTCACACCAAAACTATAATTCTGTAAGAAGATAGCGTCCCCACCAGATGTTTTTTTTATCGAATACGTCGAAATAAGATGTTTGGATCATTATAAGTCATATTTTTATCTGATATTAATATATATCTATGTGACTCTGATGGTATGATTGAACCACCATGTGAAAGAGTGATATTTCAAATATGTCTCCACATGTATATCTTGTATGTGCTAATTAAAAATTCATATCATAGTAATTAACCAATTCCTAACTAACATGTGTTTTTAACAAGTATCTGATATAGAAAAAAATAGAAATATTCTGCAAGTTATTTCATGACGAATTTTAACTCATTCACCTCACCTCTCATGTTGTAACCAGATCAAACACGATATGACTCATTATGTACAAGGATAGTCATTCTTTAAACAGGTAATCCTATACGGATCTTTACAGATGATGAGCGCCAGGTAATCTCGAACGCCAGGTAATTCATGTGAGGATATTGGAAAGTATGTGATAAGAAAAGAACTCTCGAAGAACAGAAAAATATCAATTTAATCAGGTAGGGTGTACGGCTTACGAGACTACTAGTTTCGTTGCAGAATATTTCTGATATTGAGAAATTTATCAAAGCGTAAACACATTATTAGGCGAAGTATGAAATCAATAGTCTGTGTCTTTCATCCACTGCTGTGACCCAGATGTAATAAATTTTTGGTTTCTATCAAGGTCTCCGATCTTTTCATTGAAATGTGTTATTTATTTAATCTGACGCTGTGTTACGTACATATCCAATTTGAAACGGGTGATAATCGAAGCCAGCTAATTTGTTGGATAAAGAGCTCCCTTACAGTGAGTTCCAAGATATTTTCTCGTGATAGCGTTTATGTCTGATTCACATTAGTTGAACTGTGTAGGATGATATAGCTGCAGGTTTTGTAGTGAAATATATTTAAAGTAAGAAACAAAATAAAAATAGTACGACACGGCCAACAAAATTTAAAGCATTATAGAAAAAAAACGTCTGGCTTCGATACTGCCCATCTGTTAAACTTATCATGATAACATTTATCGTGGTAAATATAACCTTCAGCAATGTACAACTTATGGGCAAATGCATGTTTCTGACTGAATCTCTGTCAGTGATAACATGGAATTTGCTTGGTATGCCTGATTCCAAAAAGCAGATGGCTTTTGGAGATGTTTATACAGAAGTTTGAAAATCAATCATTCGTTTTACTGCACTTGTCAAACAAACAATGTACATCTCATTATTTAGTGGAGAAATTTTATTTAGATTTCTAGTCGATTAATACTTTTTTATTTAAAGGAACTAAGAAATGATAACTGTGTTTCAGTGAAGTTCTCTTTTCTTTCACTCGGGCGATGACGTCATTTTCGGTAGTGTGACGTCAGATAAGTTTTATCGATGTCCATTAAGTGGTGTTGACATAATGTTTAGTATTATAAGATGTATATATGACAATCTTAGGGACTGTTTTGGAAAGCTTGTTCATTGATAAATCACACTTATGGTATAAAATAGGATCTGTAAACTGTTACTGTGACAAAATAGATGAACAATGTATACATCACCTTGAAAGGTAAAATGTAACAAATTCAATTATCATAGAAAACCAATTCGAGACATCATTCCTATAAGAAGTAAAATTCAGTCTCTAAGTCTGACTCTAGGCAACAATCTTTACAGCAGTAAGAGTATAAATTCAGTCATCCACTGAAGACTTCTACGAGAAGCCGTTCTTTTAGTCATTATTTTCATCAGTCACTCCATAAATTCAGAAGTGCTGTACACCACTGCTAGGATTTGCACAAGAATTCCATTTTTACAGACGTAGTTAGTTAAATTCAGACACTTCAGGCCCAAGTGGTTAGTGAAAATACAAATTGCAGCCACTGAACATAAAAAAGGTATTAAATGCAAAGCTAACAACCAAGATATATCAATCGGACCTGTCTTACTAAACCGAAAGTTCCATATTGATAAAAATATTTCCAATATTGTTTATTTTGTTTAAAAACCAGTGGTGTAGGATTAGATTCAGTCATCCACATAATACACACACTACACATCAGTCGTTTGATCAGTAGCAAGGTAAATTTAGGCACTGAAGTCGCTACACAGACATTCGTTTCAACCTTCACAAACACAGTTTAGTCACTGCATACTTCTATTCTCACAAAGATGTATGAAATCAGTCCTTTCAGCAGTTGCAAACAAAATTCAGTCACTCAAGAAAACTTGCCCAAACAAATTAACTTCTTCGTCTCACAAAAGTCAGTTATAACATGGATCAGACCGTCCCATAACTTCTGGATCCCCCATACGTCAACAAGATGCTGCATCAGACCGTCCCATAACTTCTGGATCCCACAAAAGTCAGGTATAACCTGGATCAGACCGTCCCATAACTTCTGGATCTCACAAAAGTCAGTTATAACCTGCATCATACCGTTCCATAACTTCTGGATCTCACAAAAGTCAGTTATAACCTGCATCGTACCGTCCCATAACTTCTGGATCTCACAAAAGTCAGTTATAACCTGGATCCGACCGTCCCATAACTTCTGGATCTCACAAAAGTCAGTTATGACCTGAATTCGACCGTCCCATAACTTCTGGATCTCACAAAAGTAAGTTATGACCTGAATCCGACCGTCCCATAACTTCTGGGTCTCACAAAAGTCAGTTATAACCTGCATCATACCGTTCCATAACTTCTGGATCCCACAAAAGTCAGTTATAACCTGGATCCGACCGTCCCAAACTTCTGGATCTCACGAAAGTCAGTTGTAACCTGGATCAGATAGTCCCATAACTTCTGGGTCTCACAAAAGTCAGGTATAACCTGAATCCGACCGTCCCATAACTTCTGGATCTCACAAAAGTCAGTTATGACCTGAATTCGACCGTCCCATAACTTCTGAATCTCACAAAAGTCAGTTATGACCTGAATCCGACCGTCCCATACCTTCTGGATCTCACAAAAGTCAGTTATGACCTGAATCCGACCGTCCCATAACTTCTGGGTCTCACAAAAGTCAGTTATAACCTGCATCATACCGTTCCATAACTTCTGGATCCCACAAAAGTCAGTTATAACCTGGATCCGACCGTCCCATAACTTCTGGATCTCACGAAAGTCAGTTGTAACCTGGATCAGATAGTTCCATAAATTCTGGATCTCACGAAAGACTTGTCCTCTTAGCTGTCTTATGAAGCGTTCCGGAACAGAAGTTTATGATAACAATGACAAAGAGGCCAGATCGAGATACCAACTGTCGAATGACCTAGTTTTATACATTTCGAAAAAAGTACTTCTTAAGTGATTTAAGACTAGGAACGAAACTTTCCCTTAAGCAACTTGCTTTGTTATTGATAAAACTCTGATAATTTGATGGTTTAGTTTAATTCCTTCCATAAGGAATGATTCATTGTGTCATATATTGTTGTTTTATCGGTTTCAACCGGTAA